ACAAATCTCCCATTTTCTTTAGGTGATTTACTCATTCAATTTAATGGTTCAATTTGATTGTTCTATGTTCCACTCTTGGTTTGTTTTGGTTGGTTTTTTTTAAATTTTATGTAAAAATTATTTTAATTTTTATCGTCAACTCCTCATTAATCATTTAATAAGAACTCAAATTTGTTTTACAAAAGATGTTTCTATATTAGATTCCTATTAAATAATTTATTAGAAGATCAACCACGAGGACTAATATGATTTAGAGATTAAAATAAAAGGGACGAAAAGTCGGGACTAAAATGAAATAAGATTGAAAGCTGAAGGATCAAAATAGGATTTAAACCGGGCCAAATTTGGAATGCTAAAATCACATCCTCATTTATCTAATGCCTCAAGAAAATTGGTTATTTAGGAGCATTAAAATTGGAGGAGTTTCAGAAGAATACAAACCCAATGCTTAACCTCCTCAATTAGTTTCCCCATCTCCATTCTGTCTGTTCTCCAGACTGTTGGCTGAGTTCATCTAAATAAGAACAGAAAGACTTTAGAAAACGGAGGAAAAAAAATCTATATAGCACTATTTAGAACAGCAGGAGTTCTCCTAAGAGTATATACCATGCTTATAATGTCACATTTCTTCTTGTTTTCCATGCCTGTATATGTATACCTTCTTTTCTACTAGACAAATCTCCGGTTGTCGTACGATATAAAGTATATCCCCAACCGATTCGTATGAGTCCTGGTTTCGGTGCCAAGTCCACAGAGCATGAGTTTCGTTTCTCACCTGCAAAGAATACTCTTCAGTTCCAGCAATTCAAACATCGCACCCAACCCGAACAAAGGGAGAGCGTATAAGATTTTAATCCTCCAAAATCTGGAGATACAATGCAGGTTTCAAGAGAAAGAGCTTATTTTATGTGTTTTTGGTGGCGCTTATTGACCTTCAATAGTTGATTTTAGAGTCGGTAGAACATTGAAGCAGTGCCTCAAGCACATACCATTAGATCTCGGGCGTCTAAAAGAGAGGGAGAGAGAGAAGGCGAACCTCCAAAATGCCATGGCCGAAACTACTTTCACGATATGCACTGTAATCAGGTTGCTGATCCCAGCAGAACTTTCCTTTAGCTGGGCCAGATGTGAAATTGAATGCACAGAAGCCGCCCATGAATTCATCCGGTGTCGAGGATGGCTCCGGGCAGTTTCCAGGTTCATCAGCATGATCAATCGCCATCTTCTCTCGGTTACCTCCATCACCTACCGTTATGTAGACAGGACCGCAAGGATCCAAAGTGTAGTTATATACTCTATTTGACCTCTCATAGGCATGAACCTGATCATAAATTTATTCCCCAATCAGAAGAAATATTAACAAACTTGTGTATGTGGCGGAAACAAATAGAAAAACCAAATATGCAATTAACCATTCAAATCCTTTTTATTTACTTAACTTGTACACAGAAAAAGAGCCTGTAAAAGAGCCATTTGCAGCTAGTTGCAGAGAATCTCAATTGGCCTATTAGATGCTTGCACCACATGCTTATGATTTTATAATCAGGAACTTATGGTTTAGAGAGAGAGAGAATGAGAATCTGAAACAAAATTGAATAGTAAAAACATAACAGGTCACCAAAGAATTGTGTTTGGGATGGGAAAAAAATGCTTTTTCAATAAAAAGATTTTTTAAACGCTTTCGGAAGAATTACTAACTTATATTGATTTTAAATGATTTTAGCTTACTAAAAGTACTTTTTTTTTAACTCTACCATGTTTGGTAATAAAAGTGTTTTTTCAAAAATCTAAAAGGTACGCCAAAAGTGACTGTGAATCATAATCTATGCAATTAAACAACCTTTCTGATTTCTCATAGAGTTTGGTTGCATAGTAAAATGTGATTTTGAAAATTATAAAACCCATCCTAAAGTGCTTTTCGATAAGTGCTAATAGAAGTATTTTACTATACTCAAAAGTCATTCCAAATTCCCTCTAAATGATAAGAGTGAAATAAAAAATTCTGTTGATAAGTTGTGTTATCTAGAAATACACATTTTAGTCGCAATGAGTAAAATGACGATATAAAGGGGACATACATGGCCATTGAAGACTATGTCGACTTTATACTTGTAGAGCAAGTCTTCCATTGCCACTCTCATGCATTCTGCTTCTCTGTAATGGGCAGTGTAGGTGCTATACCAAGGGGAGTGCCATGTAGCTACCAACCATGGAGTAACTTTCCTGTCAACTTTAGCCAGGTCTTGCTCAAGCCATTTGTACTGGTCACCTGAACCGGGCAAAAAAAACAAATCACACATTCAGCAATTGTCATCTGTCGGCAAAAATTCCGTTTCCTAATCTAAAAGATTGTGAAAAGAAAAGGCAGGCTATGGATTCACCTGTTCTGTCATATGAAATGTAGGCACCAAGCATTATGAAATGAATGCCACCTGCATTGAAAGAGTAGTAAAATGTCGAACACGAGTTACTCTCTTCGGATGGGAATGCAAATCGGGAACTATAAGCCGCAAATGTTTGATTTCCAGCTTGTAGTTCTATCTCATGGTTCCCTTCCACCACCATTAATGGAACTTTGGACACTAGAGGCTGCATGTACCTGATAATGAAAAGCTGTGAGAGATCATTTCCTAAAACCGACCTTCCCATGTTTTTTCAACAAGCTTCGAGTATGAATATGTTAGTGACCAAGAAGAGGAAGAGGGGGAGATAGAGAGAGATCTAAAAGCAAATAGTCTTTTGGCAAAGTTAGGCATAATAAACCAAGTGAAAGACTGAAAGTAATAGTAACAGAATCTTGATGTAATGATATTCAAATTAATTAAATAATGAATACAACATTCTGATATATATACAACTTAACCAAACATGATAATTAACTAAACTAACTAACTAATAAGCTAGAATAGTATTAAGTCATTAGGATGCAGATTTGCATTCACGCAGAAAAAATGTACATACATTTTGCATAGGAGGCATTACTATGTTATATAATGAATCATAGATGTAGCAGTTATAAATTCTTTTCTTTTCTTTGTCAAACATCGAAAAAAGATATGACAAACATAAACTAAGGTTACAGAATTTATTCTAACAATACCGAAACATTCGAATACTCAACAAGTTAGCAAGATAAGTAAGTTTCAAGTTTTAAAATAAAGAAAGAAAGAAAACAGGGGAAACCTGACACACCTTCCCCAGTAATCCCAACGAGGCTGGTAAGTTTCATGAATAGGAGTTTCAGGAAAGGAACAAGAGTAACAATCAGAGCCGGTGCCATTCGTAAGATATAAGTTGGCATAACTTACATCCCCAACCAGTAGAACAAGGTCAGGATGGTTACTCAAAATATGATCAACTGTTGATGTAGTGTTGTACGTAAGACCCAAATCCCCAACCACCGCTATTCTATTAGGATAACTCTTAGGCCCTGAAACAGGCATTGTGCTGAAATAATACACATCACTCGTTTCTTCTGCAACTGAAGGGTCTCCACACTGATATTGGTACAAAGTATCAGGTTCCAATCCTGCAGTTAAACAGTCGATTCTTAAAATAATCAGCAAAAACCAGGAAGATTTTCCTGCTAAACAAAAAATCAGCAAAATAACAAACGAACCCAATCCTCTAATGGGTGAAGCCGGCTATGTTTGGAAAGATGTACAAGCCTACAAGGTTCTGAGCGCATTGCAAATTTGAATTGATCATACCCGTTAGGCGAACATGGTGTATAATTCCAGAAGTGTAATTCTTGAGGCCTTCAAAGGGATAAAGTTGATTGTAGATAAGAGAGTAACCCTTGGCTTGGTTAGTCATTGGCGTTCTGAACTTTCCATACACAACAATACTCGCGACACTTTTGGGATCTAACGGTTGAATGTTATCTCCAATTTGGAAGTCCCCTGCACATCAATCGAATCTTACTGAATTGAGCCAAAGGGAGATTTATGAGTCATACGCGCAAAAACATGCAACCTTCCGATCAAAACTTGTCAAACTTCGTGACAGAAGAATCAATTCGAAGAAAATTAATAATATGCACCTGCCCCTAATAACCACCCGATGCATCTCCGTAATACAATTTTCAATCTCTGATATATTTAACAGCGTATAAAACCATCAGCCACATTGTTATAGCCTTGCCAAACACTAAATGATCTCTCCAATTCGAGCTTTTGTCATGAGGGGTGTCTTTTACGCATTTTGTCAAACAGTTAACATACATAGTCAGTTCAGCTAGAATTTCCAGAGCTTAAGATTAGCTACTAAGTAATCTCTCACATTTCAGTCTCATGACAGGGAAAGTTGCTAATTCGAGCAAGAAAAAGCAATTTCAATCGAGAAATTGTGCCAACAAGTTACAAAAGCAAGTTCACAAAGACAGTAATCGAATTGCCATATTCAAATTGATCAACGAGAAGAAATAGCAGAAACCTGTAATCCAAGAAATCCAAACGGAGTCATAATTTGCCGAGAGAGAAACAGAGATTTGCTCCGGCTGAAACCGCCCGCCAATCTTCTGGACTCGAGGATCGGTTTCCGGCAAGTCCTCGGCCTTCCCCCGGAAGCTCTTGTCAAGCGGGACAGTTACAGGCTTAAACGGCCCTTCAATGGTGGTCGGAATTCCTCCATGGACCGAATAAAACGTCGAAACAAAGAGCGAAGAGGTCAAAATAAGGGCAAATGGGAAGAGACCCATTTGCCTGGTTCGACTATTTTCACAACCCAGATGAAAATTAAGCACTGGGAGGAGGGAAAATGAGAGGGAAAGGGATTCAAATAAGAAATGACACGAAAATAAGTATCAAATCGAAGGGGGAAAAGGAACAAACATACTGCAGCTGCCATGTGAGGCCAAGGAGCGATCGCGACAAAGGAGATGACATCAAATTTCCTTTTCATGCGAATGGATTCCGTTTGGGGAAAGTAAATTGACTCCATAGCTCCAAATTCGAGGCCGACAGATTGCCAAAATGCACCGATGCCAGCGATTTTGTTACTTTTCCTTTATTCTATAACGCCGACTTCCATTTATTATAGTTTTGATGAATTATTACATGGTACAGCAATGGAATCACCTCGAGCAAGCACTCGCATTTCCAAATTTTTTATACACGAAAAAAAACACAAATTGAAAAGAAAAATTAATTACCAGAACGGTTACCATAAATGAAAATGTGTTTGGAAATTTGCATAAGATAAATCCTTTTAATCTCAAATATTTTTAAGGTTAAAAGGTCTTATATTTTCAGCTTTAGTTTATTTTAATTTTTGTACTCTTAAAATAATATTTTGATGTCTGAACTTTAAAAAATTACTAGTTTTATTTTTTATCTCATTTTTCCTGTCACAATTTCAAAATTACACTAATTTTATATAAATAATTTTTATTATGCGTAGAATTTGTGTTCAATTTTTGAAAAGATCCAAATGAATATTTTGAAGATATAAGAATTAATATGAACTAAAGTTAAAAATATAGAAAGTAAATGAACCTTTTGAAAGTACAAGAACTTAAATTGAAAGTATATGTTCGAACAGTATTTTAACTAATTTTTATATTATGTAGGTTTCATTTTGTACATTCAAAACTTTTTTTTTAGTTTTCTAGGTTTAGTCTCATCATCTTGACGTTCTCTATCAAATATATTATAAACATATATTTAGTAAATTGAGATAAATTTGATATTAAAGTGAATTTTCTTTTAAATTTGTAGGGTTTGACAAAATTATCATGATAATGATAATAAGTTTTTGGAATTTTTTATATTGTATTTTGTTAAAATTAGGTTGTGATTTGGCCTTGAACAAAGAGTAGAAGGTAACATTCTTCTAAATTTGGTTTCAATTCAATGAAATAAGTTTACCAAATTTATCAAATTATCAGAACAGTTACCATAAATGAAAATAAGAGTTTGGTAATCAACTTTTAAATTTGTATTGGATGAATCCTTATAATCTAAAATATTTAACATTTTTATTGGGTATATATTTAGTTTTTTTTAGTACATAAATATAATAGAATTTAGACAAAAATAATAATAAACGACTTTTTTAAAAAAATTTATAAATTATAACGAAATTATTTAATGGTAATAAGTTTTTGGAGCTTTTAATATTATGTTTTGTTAAAATTAGTTGATGAATGAGTAGAGAGTAAAAAAAAAGTAACATTCATCTAAATTTAGTTTTCATTTTGATAAAATAAAAAATGTATGATAAAAATTTATACGGTTTACCAAATTTAGGGGTAAAAAATGGTTTTGTCCCCTAAATTTTGGGAACTAAAAATCTAATATTTCTTTTCCTTCTAAAATACCTCGGTGGCCCTAAATCGGAAATCCAACATGGAAAACGCCAGCAACTGCAACTCTTCGGATTAACTTTTCTTCTGAAGATTTTGTTGATTTTTGGATGAATTAGGGTTCTGGGAAATTGCGAAATCGATCCAACAAGTTTATTTTCCGGCCGATTCGAGCGCCTAGAAAATCAGAATTTTCCGAGCGGGAAAATTTAGAAGAAGACGAAGAAGATGAATATCTTCAGATTGGCCGGGGATATGACCCATTTGGCCAGCATTCTGGTTCTACTCCTCAAGATTCATACCATCAAGTCTTGCGCTGGTTCGTCTTCTATCTCTAATTTTGGGGTTTTTTTTAAGTAATTTTAATTAGGCTTTGGCACAGTTTGATCGCTCGATAACTTTGTGAACTCTCTCCTGAATTGTTCATACGATTGGGCATTATGTTTTATTGGTTCTCATTGAGTTGAATGAGAGTGGAATTTGGAGAATTGAATCCGAAGGGTTTTCGAATTCTGGTTTGTTCTGATTTTCTGTTTCTCTTGGTAATTTGATTCGAGTTATAGCAGCTTGGGTAGCGCCCAATATAACTGAGGTTTCTTTTTCAAAAGCGTGATTATTGGTAAAGTAAAGAAAAAAATAAAGGTTTAGATTGCTTTTTAAGGGTGTTTAGGTCATGACTCAGCTTAAGAACTCTAGTGAGCCACCTGCCTTAGGAATTAATTCTTATTGACATTAAACATTATAGGGTCAGGTGGTTGCCTCGTAAGTAAGCCTGCTTGGACAGATATCAAAAAAATAAAAAACCCTAGTGACCTAGTTTATGTTCGGGGCTTATGAACCCACATTTTATACTATATACTAACTTTTACAAATCATAAACTCAAAGTCACGTAAGGCCAAGTTTCTATAACCACATCCAATTTTACAAATTACACGAGCTCAGGTGCAACTGGGACGAGATCTCTTTGATTTATGAAATCTTTGTCTTTGATGGATGGAACCACCACGAGTTGGTTTAGTGGTCCTTGTGACAAATGAAAAAGGTAAAGGAACTTTGGGAAATGTGTTCAAATCCCATAGTCACCTAATTTTTTGACAACCAAATATTGTAAGGTCAAGTAGTTGTTTGTGTCTTGTGAATCTAGTTATCTAGTTATGTGGGTTAGCTGGCACAACCACACAGGCAATAACAAATATCTTTGATTCATGGAATTAGAATATAAATTTGTGTGAATATCGAGCCAGTTTGTTATCTTTGGATTTTCTGCTATCATTTTTTTGATCATCGAACTACTCAGTTTGTTGTGTCTCTGCATGTCTACAAGCATTATGATGTCTGAATTTGGTAATTGATTCTGCAGGCATTTCTTTGAAGACTCAAGAACTTTATGCCCTGGTTTTCCTTACTCGCTATTTGGACATATTTGGTAGATTTGTATCAGTATACAATACTATAATGAAATTAATTTTCCTGGCGAGTTCTCTCTCCATTGTTTGGTACATGCGACGTCACAAAGTCGTGCGCAGATCTTACGACAAGGATCAGGATACCTTTTGCTATCAATTTCTCGTATTGCCTTGTCTGCTGTTGGCACTAGTTATTAATGATAGGTTTTCATTCAAAGAGGTAAATATTCTGGTCCTTTTTCTTCTGTCTCTTCTTAATCATTCATTTTACAACTTATAATTAAGTCCTTTTGCTGATAGCCTTCCTCATGCTGTTAAACGTGTTACTGTAACTGTACTGTGTTAATGTTCACATTATATACGAGCTTTGTGTCGTTTTTTTTCTTCTTTCCATGTTCTATGTCCTTAATGAATGCAAATGGGTAGGTGATGTGGACGTTTTCCCTATATCTTGAAGCCGTTGCCATACTTCCTCAGTTGGTGTTGCTACAAAGGACAAGAAATATCGACAACTTAACGGGACAATACGTCTTCCTTCTTGGGTAACTCTCCATTTCCAAAGTCTTATCTCAGTATCTTCTTGGGTACATTATATTTTATTTTAGTTGTGTATGGTTTTGAGGGATTCTAGGCCAGAGATTTGTATTTCATCTGTAAGCGTAAGCTACATCTTATTCTTGTCTCTTACCTTCATGTTTCGTGACATGCTTAATGTCAAATTTATCTGCAGATTATGTTCATACCAAACGGTTACTAATGTTTTGGTGTTTTTTGAATCAAGGCCTTAATTTTTAACATTTTCGATTATTTTCCTGTTGGTGAATATTAAAATTGGCTGATGATAAGCTTAAATGGTATCGTACCATCAGTCTAGGTAGAAATTTAGATGAATCAGGTCACTTAAAATAGGAAAGTTTATAATTCCTCCATTCTCCATGAAGTTAGTTCTTCTCTTCGGTTAGATGGCTTAAAACTCCTCTTCTAAATTTCTGTCAAAGTATCATGTCACATACTTACATAAGTTTATCATCAACCAATTTTAACATTCACCGATATTAAAAATCAAAAGATAAAGGACTTGGTTGAAACTTTTAAAACAACAGGGAATATATGGAAAATAACACTCAAAACATTACAGATCAGAACCTAAAACATATATTTGACCTAGTTTAGTTGGGGTATTGTTTTTCTCCTTGATTCAAATTTTGTGCTGGCTTGGTCAAATTGTCAGGATTCATTCATAGGTTTGAGACTTGATGTATGGAAAGCTTTCCAGTGGAAAAATGTAAAAATTTTGATATTTAGAGGTTATATCATATCATATGTTCGTCTTCTCTTTGCTTCTCTTTTCAGCGCGTACCGTGCATTGTACATACTGAATTGGATCTATCGCTACTTCACCGAGCCAGACTTCATTCGATGGATAAGTACGTTGCTCTCCCTCTCCCACACACTCTCGCACGCACCCTCTTGCACACACGTGTGGTGCATCCATAAGGAAAGAAGAAATATATACCTTAACCAAGGAACCGAATTAGCTACTAATTATTAAACGAATCCACTCTTGCAGCTTGGATAGCGGGTCTCGTGCAAACATTGCTGTATGCCGATTTCTTTTACTACTACATCATAAGGTAAATTCAACACTTTAATTTTACATTCCTTGTATATAAATATGTGTCCGCGCCCTCAATTCTTGATAATTTTCCTGCATTGACTCCATTTTAACTGATGCTTCCCAGCTGGAAGAACAACGTCAAGCTTCAGTTACCAGCTTAGCTTTAAGGATTAGTGTTGAGAATTTTTAAGCTTTGGCAGAAGACGCGGTAGATGAAGATCTCAGTGCATATTTATTTTCTCAGCTTTGAATTAATTGTACTTTAGGGAGTTTATTTAATTAGGAATTTGTATTTTTTTTTCTTTTTTGTTCAGATTTTATATAGGATAATTGTATAACATTGTAAATATAGTCTTCATCTGAGTCATCTGCTTCGTTTGCCCTCATTTTCCATCATTTTGTTAGTTTACGCTCTTTAAACGAAGACCAATTTCAAAATTGACAATCTATTTACAGATTTTCTTAAATTAATAGTAGATTTTTTCGTTGGCAATCACGATAATTTTTAGCAAGTCATGATAATTTATTTCCAATTCAACTTTATAAAAGAAAGCTTCGCAAGTCATGATAATTTTTAGCAATTTTTTCTATAAAATCCTTAGTTCTAATTTTAGATAAAATAAGAAAGTTAGGCTTCATGGTTTGTTTATTGTCCCTCATTTATATTTTCGAGAAATATAGGCATTTGATAATGGTTCCTATTTCTCATTATCCATTCCTGAGAAATATCGTGAAATCTGTATAAAAGTTTCGAAAATAACAAAATCACGTTATTCATTTTTTCGGTTTTTTCTCAAACATAAATAAAACGGTATCTTATCATTTTTTACTTATAAGAAATGAGAAACAATGAATGTTACCAAGAGCCCTTCATAACTAATAACTAAGGCCTGTTTGATTAAAAAAAAAAAAAAAATTATTTAGATTTTATAACAAATTGAAAACGGAAACATGAAATAAGAAACTTGTTTTTGTTAAAATTTCTATATAATTTTGAGAATATTTCTACAGAAAGAAAAAACAAAAAAACGATAAACATAAATAGTTTTCCAATACTTAAGTTTCTTAACAAAATAAAGAATGAGAAACAAAAAACAGAAATATTACCAGACGAGTCCTGAAATTCTAACTTTCTAAAAAATTCAAGAGGCTGAGGGAAGTCTTTCTAGAGATTAGAGTGTGTACGGATCACGGACACAATGAAACATTATGCTAATTGATAGATTATAATTTCAACTATCAACAAAGAGGATATTGCTAGATGGTCGTCCTCAAATCCTCTCATTTATGTGTTTCAATATCATTTTTCCTCAGTAATATCAAGATGACAAACTAAACTATATGTTTCAACTTTGTATATCAGAATCAGCAACTAACAATGCATATGATAAAGGTGCTCTAACGAAAAATAGAATTCGCACCTGTATACTTTTAGAACTCAAGGATACAGAGGTACAACCTATGGAACAGATCCTGTTCAAGTAAGGTTGAAGAATTCGCACCTGTATAAGAATGTGCAGCTGATCCATTTACAAATTTGTTCAATCTACAAACCTAACTTCTTCATTGAAAAATTTGGATCACGTATCAATATAATCTGCAGATTGAATGATCCTCAGAAGCTCCTTCAAGTTAGCCAATATGTGGCGTGGGCCCAAACTCTTCATACCAATGAAGTTTAGAAGTTGCTCCAAGTCCTGCAATAGATGGACAGGTGAATACCATCACACAAGTAGTAGCTCAAAAGATTAACACGATGTTGCTTGTCTCCGCAAAAATAAAATCGAGATTCTAGTTTTTAAGCTGGAATGACTAGGAATCAAAAAGCTGCAACAACTAACAAGGGTACACTTGAAATGCTTGAAATAAGAATGGTTTCTATAGAGAACTGAAGAGCAGTGGTGTGACCATCTTTTGCATGAGAAACCAACTAATTATTTGACAACCTAATAAATTACAAAATCAAGTCATCATAAATGAAGGAAACTACACCTTGTTTAACAAAAATACGGCGTAAGCAGCTCTCGTTGTATCTTGTCCATCTAAAAAGAGAGGGAACTCGACATGTTTCATATTTGTGACAGGTAGTGAGGTGGATAAGGAAACAGATGACGAGGGTTCTATTGAAGGCGCGTAGTCACAAATGTAGGAATGAGATCCACCCATGTGCAAAGGGTAGCGTAAAGGAACTTTTAGATATGAAGATATGAGGGAAACAGCCTGCAGAAAACACAGTATAGTGTGTTATATTTTACATTATTGACTCTAGTCTCAACCTAGCATCAAACTTTAAAGGTTAACCATAATCAAATCATAGTATTCTGTAACCGAACCAATACAAATGCCAGAACAATTACATTCAATACTATTTGCAGACCAGAGGGTAGAAAAGTCAATCCAACATTTATAGCAGATAACCAAGATAAGAGAGAACATACATGAGCAACATATCCAAGGGCAGTTGCAGACCTCTGAGTCTCTTTCTTATCACTGAAAAAGCTCATTTTTTTAAATGGAAGCACATTCAGATTTAGACCTAATATCGTCAAGGATCCATGATTGACAGGTTTAGAACCAGAAGAATTCCCTGGTAGAACAGAACAAAATCAAAAGGCACGAACAAACGAAATCTAACACGAGAAAGGAAAATTCTGTAAAGAGGGAAACACTAATATCTACAGATAAAATACAATCTATCTAGCATATGATGCATCCTATATACAGAAAGGTATCACTTGAGGCAGGCTTAACACAATTGATATTTGCTTGGTACTGGTAAAAAATTGATAGGTCTTGCTTCATGGATAGTAGAATCAAATTGAACAGATAATTGAATTCTTATAAAAAAAATAGGCAGACATATCGCAAATTCCTGGAGATAGAATGTTAATTCATAAAAATTTTCCAATAGCTGGGTTAATAATGTCGCTACTCTACTGAAAATAATTCCTCTGACTATCTTGCAATACCTGGATCAAACTAAGTCTCGTATACGAAGAATTATTGAATGTCTCAGACTTACTAGCATATACCTAATCTACTAGTGTTAGGAAATGATTCAAGCTCCTGATCCCTAGCAGGTCCGGTTGAAATTTTTACAGGATAGAGAAATGAAACTTGTGAAATCATATATTGCTGCCTTCTTCTCAGCATCTTCTGCAAGCTTTTTAGACGATCATAGCCTTCTTCTCCAGTGAGTAGTCTATTTGATTCCTGTCAAAGATATGGAATGATGACATCATGCCAGTTACCTAGTTAGTAGAGTGCCGAAGACAGAGTGCTCCAATAACTTTATTTGTTTACTTTTATAAGTTTGTGGGGAAGCCTAAGACAAATTTATATACAACCGGAAGAAATGAAAAACAAAAGAAAAAAATACTATAAATATTTTCAATCCTCAACAATGCCTAGAACATAGAATTCACAAATTTACATTCAGTTTGAGCTGATAGGACATATTAGTAACTGAGGGTTTTTTTCTGCCAGAGGCATCACATCCACATTTAGTATCTACAGGGTTTTCTTTTTCTTCTCATTCTTAAATTGAGAAGAAAAAGAAAAACAAATTCTACAAAAATTCCTAATCTTATACATGCTGTCATTTTAGGGAGATTAAGGTGTGGGATGATATATGTTAAAAATCCATCTCTATGATTTTCAAATATTAAAAACTTTACGCCCCGTTTTACAACCCTTTTTTTCTTTTTTTTTTTTAAAATAAGCCTGTAAACACTACGTTCACGGTATTTCTTTTCTATGCTATCTACTTTTTGAAAACGTTTTCAAAATATAAGCTAAATTTTGAAAACTAAAAAAAGTAGTTTTCAAATTTTTGTTTTGACAACCAAATCTCACGGACAACCACCTGATCCTACTACATTTGGTTGTCAAGATAACTCGTAAAATAGTAAACCCTAGGTAGGTGGCCACTATAGTTTGAACTCATCTCCTCAAAGCCCTTTACTATTGGCCCTTACTGACCACTGGGCCAAACTATGATGGTTGAAATTTGGTTAATAATTCAAATGTGTTTTTAAGAAAAGTGAAAACTTACTTTAAAAAAATTGTGAAGAACTAGCATAATTTTCAAAACAGAAAACTAAAAACAAAATGGTTACCAAAAGGTACCTTCGTGATTATCCTTTTTATGTTATTGACAAGTTGGAGCCTCTCACTATAAGGTAGTTTTACGTGAATGTGTGTTATGGTTCTTTTCACCGGCATGAGTTTTCTACATATGATTACACATTTCAGGTGAACCCAACATACTTCTTGCAAATATTAATGAAATTTATGTAGTGGTTTCTTATCATGTTGAATATAATTACCTGCAATCGCTTCCTAGCTTTAGACAAAGCAGTCCCCGCAACCAAAAGTGATCTAACTTCCACGCTAAGACTCTCCTCTTGTTTCTTAACATCCTCCGATGCAAGTTTAGAACGCATTGACAAATTCTCCACAAAACGTTTCCTCGCTTCAAGTTTCTCTACCATTTCTGCAAGCTCATTTGATCGACTAACAGACTCAGAATCGACCTGCCAACCAAATGACAACCGAAAATCCATAGACTTATCTACAAGGCTTGGGATCACTCAGTCACAGGCAAAATTCTTAACTAAATCATTCAGAATCCAACTCCCCCAAAAAGACAAGCGCCAAAACCAAATCGAGAAGGCCAACGGTCATCTATTTAACCGTTCTCTAAAAAAAATTCACTTATTAGCTTCCTGAAGTGCAATTAAACACCAATAACATGAACAAAAAAGTCTAAAACCCTAGGCCCCGTCCAGTATGCATTAGTTCCCCCGCGGCATAAACAAAACAATGCTCGTTTCTCACATTCTACTTCTCCAGCATCACTCAGACGCTAAATAGATCCTAATACCTCAATTGAATTGAATACAGTCGCCAATATTGAATTAAATCAACCAAAACCTGAATTAGGGAGTCGAGCTTCTGCTTTAGAGTTTCCTTCTGGTGCTTGGCTTCCTCGAGTGCCGAAGAGAGACTCCACAGCCTGGCAAGCTCCTGCTCGAAGTCCTCCCATTCAACGACCTTCGCATTTTCCGGATCCGAAATTCTGCTGGACTCTGAAGGAGAAGAAGAAGAAGAAGGGGCTTTGCCGCGTTCCATGAATCAGTGGAGAACGGAAGACGATCTTCGAGTTCAAGAAGTCACGGCGCCTCGGCGTCATCGTCCTTCCAGTGGAGCTACTGGAAAAGCCTCAAGAAACCATCGGAATCGGAATCGGAATTGCTTATTTCTTTCTTTCTTTCGGACTCTGAGAACAGAAGAGGGAGAAGAAAGAGAGGTTGAGACTTTGAGATATGAATTAATTAATCCAATTGAGAAATTGGGGAAATTTTTGGTTTCAAGTTTTTAACAAAAATTTCCCTTTTTATTAAATGAAAATATGAAAAAATAAAATAAAATAACAGTCCTTCCAAACTAAAATTTAGGGCAGTTTGGGTAAAAGAGGAAAAAATATATATTTTGAATGCTAAGAGAAAATCATTCGATGGTAATTTTTTTTTTAATAAAAGTTTTCCAAATTATATAGGAATTTTGGAAACAACAAAAAAAAATTCTTCTTTGTTTCTTTGTTTTTATTTCTAATTTTTATTCAAAATGTAAATAAAAATATTAATTTATCATTTCAAAAATAAATCATACTAAAAATTTGTAACATTTAATTTTTAAAAATAATTTTCATATAGAATTTTATTCTAAAGTTCTAGAGAAACAATAAATTATTACCTGACATATTTTTTTCCCTAAGAACAAAAAATAAGTCATTAACAAACATGGTTCTTTTCAATTTTTAATTGAAAAGGAGAAAATAGAATACATAAAATGAGAAACAATAATCAAGAAACATGAGTATTATCGAACAGATTCTTTATTTTTCGTTTATTGATTTATATTTCATTTAAGGGGGTGATGTTGTGGAATTTTGGTTCAGTTGATGGTGCCTACATAATTAAGGATGAAAGGGGTTTGACACTAGCATGGTGTCTTATAAAATACTTTTCTATATATTATGGGTCTTAAATTTTTCAGAGCAATCATAGTTCAGTTCATCACTGTTTTAAATGTCGATGTCGATTGAAATTTTGAGATCTCAATTTCACTGATATGTAATTGAGTATACTTTCCACACACTTATTGGCTTATTTGTTGTCAAAGCCTAATTAACTATATAATTTACTAACATATGGTTGATCGATTTCGACTGGTAGTAATAAGAAATTATTGTATGAAATTTTCACTCTAGTTTTGTAGTCGGGTTGGAAATAATTTTAGCACAATTGATTTATTTTAACGTTTGGCTGCATACGATTTTTAAATAATTAAAATTTTATTTTGAATTATTAATATTTAAAATTTATAGAGAAGTTGAAAAAAGAATTTTAAAAAACAAAAATCTCAAAGAGAACTAAGAATTTAGAACGAGATTACAAAACTTGTAGCGAATAAACAAAATTAAATATAAATAAAATTAAAGAAGGATAAAAAATTTATAAAAGAAAGAAAATCTTAAAATTTATGGTGAAAATAAGTAGAATAGAAATACAATTTTGAAAATTAAAACAATAATCATTCTAAAAACTGATTTTATATATATTGTCAAAAATCACCGTAGATTGAATCTGAATAATTTGATTGCTTGATAATCACTTAAATAATTTTAAATTTTTAAAAAATTACTTATAAATCCTCGCCAGATATAAATATTATATTTTAGAACGAGGACTCAAATATTATATTTTATTTTAGAATGTGCCAAAATCACCACACCCTAAAAAGTTATATATATATACTATAAACATGATTCATGACTCAATTCTCTATTATATTCTCTGCTTTATTCTCCATTCCAATCATCTCTCATAATTTTTTTCTTTATCATTAAAAATTTTGCATCTTTTTTCTTTATCCTTCAAAATCTGTAATTTTTCGACTTTTGACTCACACTACTTTATCTCTTTTCAAATTTTCTTGTCTACACATTTTATCTTTTCCCATTCTAATTTCTAGAATTTTTTCATTAAATTTTCTACTTTCTTTCTAACTCTACCAATGGGAAGTCAAATTTTTCATTTATAAAAAAATAATTTTTTTTCCAAACAGATAATTATGCATACGGCAATATTTAAGATAGAGAGAATTCTTATTTCTTACCTTTTCCACCGCCATTCAATTGCAGTAAAAAAATAAAAAGTTAAAAAAGGCAATGAGAATACGCGCAATTAACTGAAAAATAAAACATTTAAACCTCAATTATCCAACAATTTTAATGTCTCAAATGACTCAAAAATAACGACAACAGACCATAAGAAGATGAAAATAGCACAAAACCAGACGCATAATAAGACTAAATAATTAAAAACCTTCTACCGAGTAGAGCCGCTCTATACAAAGTAAAAAGCCAACTCACAACTAGCAAAAACCAAAAGTCTTCTTTAAAACCTTCTCTCAATGACTCAAAACGCAGGGTTTGGCTGGTTGTTGGCTGGCTCTCTTATTTCTTCTTGGCGGCGGACTTGGTCACCTTGGCTCCGGTTGGGTCCTTCTTCTCCACACTCTTGATCACACCCACCGCAACGGTTTGACGCATGTCCCGTACCGCAAAACGACCCAATGGTGGGTATTGAGAGAAGGTCTCGACCACCATAGGCTTGGTGGGAATCATCTTAACCATACCGGCATCACCGTTCTTCAAGAACTTGGGCTCCTTCTCGAGCTCCTTACCAGAACGACGATCGATCTTGGTGAGGATCTCGGCGAACTTCACGGCAATGTGGGAGGTGTGGCAATCCAGGACAGGGGCATAACCGTTACCAATCTGGCCAGGGTGGTTCATGATGATAACCTGGGATGTGAAGTTGGCAGCCTCCTTGGCTGGGTCATCCTTAGAGTTGGAGGCGACAAACCCTCGCTTAATATCCTTGACAGCAACGTTCTTCACGTTGAAACCAACATTGTCACCGGGAAGGGCCTCAGGGAGAGACTCGTGGTGCATTTCAACAGACTTAACTTCAGTGGTGAGTCCAGTTGGGCCGAAGGTGACGACCATACCAGGCTTCAGGACACCGGTTTCAACACGACCGACAGGGACGGTACCAATACCCCCAATCTTGTAAACGTCCTGGAGTGGAAGACGGAGGGGCTTGTCCGAGGGCCTCTTGGGCTCGGTGATCAAGTCAAGAGCTTCAAGAAGGGTTGGTCCCTTGTACCAGTCGAGGTTGGTGGACCTCTCAATCATGTTGTCACCCTCAAAACCAGAGATGGGAACGAAGGCGATCTTCTCTGGGTTGTATCCGACCTTCTTCAAGTAGGAAGAGACTTCCTTGACGATTTCATCGTACCTTGCCTTTGAGTATTTAGGAGTGGTAGCATCCATCTGCATTGATAAGCCCACATAAAAAAGCACAAACAATTCAGAATTTGAATTCACCAATTGGAAAGAATCAGAACTAGAACATGAAGAAAACAATAAACAATTGTAGGAACATTAAACAATATGCAACTTCGGTTTACAAAAAGAAAAGGGTGTACATCATGTGTGATAAGAGAGGGGGATTTGAACCCCCAATGATTCCTGGGAAGGAATCAAAACAAATGGCCATCTCTCCACAAGACATCAGAACTTTTCATCTAAGAAAGTTGCCACAGATCATAGTCGGGAAAATAAACAATTAACGTCCATTGATTCTAATAAAGAACCACAACATTGCATCTCCACTATAATTGTGACCCTTAATCAGATTATGGATGATGGTTTGGGCAGGTTATTTAAACATATGCTGATTAATCAATTTATGTTATCAACTATGGCACATAAGAATATAAGACGTGAAAGATTAACAAAATATCAAAATAAATGAGTGTTATATCGACCTTGTTGCAGCAGCAGATCATTTGCTTGACACCAAGAGTGAAAGCAAGGAGAGCGTGTTCACGGGTCTGTCCATCCTTGGAAATACCAGCTTCGAAACCACCAGTTGTGGAGTCGATAATGAGAACAGCACAGTCAGCCTGTGAAGTTCCCGTGATCATGTTCTTGATAAAGTCACGATGACCGGGGGCATCAATGACGGTGCAGTAGTACTTGGTGGTCTCAAACTTCCAGAGAGCAATGTCAATGGTAATACCACGTTCACGCTCTGCCTTAAGTTTGTCGAGCACCCAAGCGTACTTGAATGACCTCTTGTTCATCTCAGCAGCTTCCTTCTCGAATCTCTCGATCACACGCTTGTCAATTCCTCCAAGCTTGTAGATAAGGTGACCGGTGGTGGTCGACTTTCCAGAGTCGACATGGCCAATAACCACGATGTTGATGTGAACCTTTTCTTTACCCATTTGATATTAACCAAATGGAACTGCAAAAAAACCCAAGAGGAGTTAGTTCTTCCCACATAATAACATATAGCACAACAAATGATGATTAATAACACAGATCGACTGCAATTTCTCACAAATACAGCCACATCAAAGTTATACAAGTATGTACAACACAAATCTAACATTCCTGGAACATACAACCATCTCAAAAATATTAAGAACGAAAGCTATATACATACATGTACTAGGGTATAAAAAAAACTTTTAACCACAGTACACAACCATTACAAGAACGCTTTAAAAGGAAAACTAGTAAATAAACAGAAAGATGTCGGTCTCCAACGATGAAATAACATGGACTAAAAACATCAGATTTCACGAAACCAGCAATCGCTTAAAACAGTATGCTATAAAGATTCAACGATTACCGAACGACTTAGATGCTTCAGTTATTGATGTAAAAAACATAAATCAACTCGAACCCAAAACAAGATCCATAAACTTACGAAAATATCCGCCGTCATACAAACAGATCTGACTCAGAACAAAGCAAAACAAGCATACGAAACCAAATCAATGAACATACATGAGATTCTTGAGACTTAAATCATATACAAGTATAACGAGAAGCATAAACAAGAGAGAAAAATTGAACTGAAGAAACAAAATAGGGCGAAGAATCGAGGGCTTACCCGCAAGAACTTGAAGAGAAAATTCAGAAGAAAGAAGCAGCCTAAAATTCACGCAGGAGCAAGCAGCGAGCTTCAAGCAGTTGGATTTATCGCATATTTATAGCCACTAAGTGCGTCTAGGGTTTCTTTGAGACCGTCGTGTCGCTGATCTTGTAGTTTACATATTTGCCCCTCGATTGGGATATGTAATGACGATAGTACCCCTTGCCACTCTTGCCCTAATTCTTGTTATTCAACAGATAGACTTTGAGGCGCAGACGGACGGCAGACCACAGGATCGAGGACGAGAAGATGTCGCCAATAATAATATTTTTTACCTTTAGTAAGTTTTCACCRTAAATTTTCAATTTTATTCCATAAATATTGTAATTTTTACCTCGCATATTTTTTMCGGTCACTCATTTTACCACGAAGTAGAGTAAAAATGTTTAGAAAAGCACTAATTTCAACTAAAATTGAACCTWATGCAAAAATCCGTACAAGTAACAAACATATTTCCGAAAGTAAAAAATATCTACTTTCAAACCTCCATAAATTTCAATAAATATTCACTTTTAGTACAGATTTTCTCTRAATGTTATCAATTTCATGTTAGGACTACGAGTATGTTTTATAATTCATTGAACTGCACACCACCTATCATAAAGTAAAAGTTACAACAATTATTTACCCTTGACGTAAAAATTGCAACACTTCTTTTAGTTCCAAGACTAATTTAACAAAGTTAAAAGTTGGAACAAAATTGTTACATCATAGGTAAATATAGATTTTTATTTTCCTTTCATTTGTTACTATTTYATTGATCCAACAAAAAGTTTGAGTACATGCATTTTAACTTATGGCTTTAAAAAATTTTAGTACTAACAAATATAGTTTTTTTTCCTCTGAGTAGAACAAATATGAGTTGCTTTGCTTAAATGGTTTCATTTTATTTTAAAAAATTAATAATTTTAAACATATAAAAAAATAATTACCTCTCAATAAAATTTGTATTTTATTTTTAATCGACAACAGTGGAGTAATAATTCTAACCCAAACTAAGCGAGCTGCGATAATTGACATATATCTTCAATGATGAGGTCGTGAATTCGATCCCTCATCCCATATGTTGTACTAAAAAGAAGTTAAAATTGTATTTTAATTCTGCAGAAAAAAATTAAATTATGAATTTATAGTGTACATTTAATTTGTGAAATTGTAACTTGTGTACGTTATAGGTAGCTTTGATGCGTGTTGGGTTTAGCCTCCTTCAGTGAAAGGTCCAACCATTGAAAACGGACCGTTTTGGCAATTATGATATTTCTGGTAAATTTTAAAACAATTTGACAGCGATTTTATGACTTGGTTTTAAATATTATTGCCAGTGTTATAAACAAACTTTAATACTTCAGGGAAAAAAAGGAAAAAAAGAAAAACCATTTTAAATTTTGTATCGAGTCGCGACAACATTTTAATTTCAATTTAACATGATTCAATTAAATATAATATAATATATAGAATAAAAATAATAGGGATTTTTCCATTTGACTTGGGGGTGAAAATTCCAAATAACGACTTTTTTATCGAATATATAAGTGCTTTAATTTGTTGATGTTCGGGTTGGTAGAATAATTGAATTAATAAATGATGAACTATTTAGAGACAAATTTGGAGTTTCAAAATTATGCAAAGGTAAAATTTGATCCATAATAATAATCAAACATGTTATAAAATTTATAATAGTAAATAGAACCATCAAGATATTTCATATGTTTTTCTTTTTTTTTTACAGAAATGTAAACATGTTATATTTTTACGTATCAATTTTTTTATTTTTTCGTTTTTTCTTTCGATTTTATGTGTACATTTTTCTTTTTGTAGTACAACATGTAGGTGGATCCAACTCACAATTGATTGGAGATATATGTCAATTACTGCTGGATCGTGCTCGTTTTGGCGTTTTATCTGTATTTTTAACAGTCTCTCATTGTAACTACGAAAATAATTTTATATAACGAAATTCATATACTAAAAATCAGTTTATCTTTGTGACTTTATACTCACTTAATTCATGAGTCAAATTTACTCTTAATTAAACCTTTCAACTTGTAATTTTGGAGTTGACTCTCCAAGTTCACTAAATGGTGGTATTAATATTGTCTTAAAAATCAAACTAACAAAATATCTACCAATCCAATCAAAAACTTTGGAATCCCACTGTTAAAATTAATAAATAAAATCCAGTCAAAATCACAACTTACATAACCAAACTACATTTAATACACATTTCTTAAACGTTACTATTTATTGTTCCTCGTTTTTTTTTCTTTTAAAAGTTGCTTGTTCCTCATTTTATGTTTATGGTAATTGTTTGTCTATGGTTTATTGGAAATAGGTAGATTTTTCCGTTATTAACAACCATAAATAAGCAGGATTTCATTTATAAAAATAAAATTATCTTCCCCTAATATATCCAAGAAAAAATTGTCTTTTTCTGTATATTTCAAAATTTCGAAATTTCATATATTTGAAGAAATATCCATTCCAAATGAATTATCCATTATAAAACATGGGCGTAACTTTTCCTTTTTTTCCCTCAAAATATATAGTATAATAACAACATGAAGTTTATTACTGTGATTAATATTATATTTAAATTTGAACCGTATTTGAGCTATTTTTATAAAGACTTTAAATTTGTACTTTATATATTCACTATTTTTGTAAATGAAACAATTTAAAAGTGCAATAGAATATAGACATACCATATCTGGAAAAAAAACGTTTTAAGTTGTTTATATGTCATAACAAACGGCACAATACTTCACATTACAACCAAATTTTAAATGTGACGTGGATGGAAATGTTTATATCTTAATAAAAAAATAATGTTATGGATATTTTTGAAAAATTAGAAAATTCTTGGTGATTACAAAAATGGTTGGGTAAATTTAATTCATGAATTCTAAGACTCCCCTCACTCGTGGGTTTGAAAAACAACATCTGAAAATTATAATAAATGAGGAGGAACAACAACGCAGGGGTTCGACCACAAGACCTCTCACTCTGATACCATATTAAGAATGAATAGATCACCACTCAACCAAAAAACTTGAGTTGATGGGTTGGATAAATTTAATTCGTTGGTTTAACATATGGCTAATAAAACGAAAAACAAAATACAATATAAGTCTATATTTACACCGTCAAAGTGAACATAGGTAAACGGTAGTTGACATATATCTCAAATGAAATCAAGAGGTTGTGAGTTCGATAGTTCACGCCGTTGTACTRATAAAATCTATATTTGCACTCTCGTAAGTATTAAGAAAAACAAATTAGCTCRCCTAATGATTGGTAGAGTTTTTTTTTAATATAATCAAATATAGAAAATGGAATATTGAACTTCCGATTTTAATGGAATGAATAAGTGTTAGTGAACTATGTTTGGATGTGCTTTGGAGTACCTTTGACCATGTCATTGTCAATATCACTTTTTTTTTTATGATAATTGAGTTTATAAAAATTTAAAATCACTTGATTTATGAGATATCACTTTGATGGTGATTTTGGAAAATCAATTATACTATTTTTTAAGATCACTTACTTCCAAACATACCCTTCATATTGATATCTGTGGAATATGTTATTTTATCATATGTTACTTTTAATGGTGGTAGATATGTAATTTTGAATTATACTTATATTAACCAACTGTGATGATATAAATATTTATCGATGTGAATTTGCACTATAATTATGTATACATACACAAACCCTTAATTTGTAGCCTGCGTAGATATCTTGTAGCCTAGATAGAATACACGATTTAGTTAATATGTTTGGATTTTATTTTCCAACTTACTGTTAATAGAATTTCAAGTTAGTTCATCCAACTTTGGGTTGATATTAGAATTAATCGATGATATTAGTTTTATGCCGTATAAATGGATCATAATCCTCCAATTTTAATATCTACGCAGGAAGATGATATAGTTTCAAAATAGTAGAGTGTAAGTGGTTAGATTGAAACTTCTAAAGTAATAAGGTACATAAAATATTAAAGTGCTATTGGTTGGTGATCTAGATTAAATAAAAAA